AAAAAAAAAAAAAAACGATTTCGAACATTTTAAATTTTCATAATTTTTCTCATTCATTTTCAACTTCAACTTCTCTCTTTTACCATTCGATTTAAAATTAAACAGTTCTATTTGAAATTCCAGAAACAACTATTCAAAATCAAATCCGAGGTTTCCTAAAATTCGCCCAATATACACTGGAAATAATTCTTCCCCTAATTCTCAAAAAGAATTCTTCTTCTCTCACAAACATTCTAAAACTATTATCTCTTATTATAGAATTCCAAAGTGTATCTTTCTCAAAAAGAAATTTCAAATCTCTCTAAAATTCCGCCTAAAAATCGTGCATTCAAATAAATACCAAAAATCATTTCACCCGAGTCTCGAAATTCCAAAAGAATTTTCTCTCACCTCCCCAATTAACTCAACTTAACTTTAAAAAAAAGTTACTATAAAAAATTCTATTCTAAACGCCTAAAAGGATATTTCAAGTGCCACTATCTTCCATCCAAAAATACATATTATTCCCATTAGTCTGTCGTGTCAATTTGTTCGCCGAAACTCAAGATCGCGACATAAAACTGAACAATAAAATTCATCACACGCAACGAAAAACAATTATTTATCGTCTCGTTGTGTAGAAACCTTAATCTCAATTCGAGGCCAGGAATCACAAATTAAATTGAAGAGGGGGAAAAAGAAAAATCGAGCCACGATCAAGGGACGAAATATATTATCACTGTCAAAGATTTTTCGTCGCCAACTTCTAGCGAAATTCTAATCAATCGGAAATTCTACAGAAGCGGCGAGAGCGGCGGCAGCAGCGCGTCCGGTTCGCGAACGAGCCTCTCGATGCAGGAAGACCTGAGCTCGCCGACGCCGTGGAAGCATCGGCGACGAGCGTCCACGTTCAACGAGGCACACCTGGAACGAGCGGAGACGGTGTCGCCGAGAACGCCGAGGAAACGATCGTTCAGCTTCCACGAGCAGCCGGTGTTCGGCCAGAATCGTGGCTCCGTATCCCGGAAGAACTCCTCGAACGAGGAGGGTGGCACCGCGCACAGGAAGCCCACCGGCGACAAACAAGAGGGTGAGATTTCGTTACCACCGCCTTGCACCTGTCCCTATTTCGGCGAATCGTCCAAGAGGCCGCCGCCGCAGCCGTCCAGCGAGATCGTGATCGTTTCCAGCGACACTATGAAACCGATCTCGGGGAAAAACCTCGAGGCAGCGTTCCTCGGCAGGAGCAACAGCGGCCGAACGTTGGAGCCGAGCAGGAGTTACGAACTGAACTCTGTCGTCACGTGGAGGGGCGGCAGAAGAGGATCTAGCTTGGGTGGGTATCGCTTGATTGTATATCGTTTCATAGTCAATTTTATATTTTATATTATTTTAGTTAATTTGAGTTTTTCTTTTCTTTTCTTTGTTTTGGAGTTCTTGGAATTTACAGAGCAACGGAGTTAATAAGTAAACTGTTATAACTTTGTGAAAGAAAGTTATATGATAATTCACCTTAAAGCATGGAACTTCTAGTTTCAAAGTAAGTTTCGTGTTTTTATATTGTTTGACTGGAAATAAGAAAGAGTAAGTAAGCGACGAAAATTGTGTGATAATTCAGTTTCGAAGCATCGAATTTCTAGTTTGACAGTCGTAAGTTTGGTTGAAAATAA